GAGCCCAAACCCCTTCTAACTAGGCAACCAGAGGGTGTCAAAGCTAGAAGAAATGACCTTGAAGAGATAAGCAAAGCCCAGACCACTGCAATGAAAAATTCTCCACTGACTCTTCTGTCCTTTTCCATGGCAGCAAGCAGCAGGCTAACTGACATTCAACCCCCTGTAACAGCGGCGTTAACCATACAGATAAATTTTATACAATTAAAATCAACAACACATCTTAACAAAGAGAGATTCATTCAGGGTTTGTTGGAATATTTTCTATGAAAGATTTGGAGTTTAGGTGCCTGGACATCTTTAGCATCCACCCATTCGGACTGTGCAGGAGGAAAATGTTTCCAGGCAACAAGATATTGGACCTTCCCTCTACGTTTCCCGGAATCCAGAATTTCTTTAATTTCAAAGTGCTGCTCTCCTTCGATTAGAGTGGGCACAGAAGGGGTGTCAGGTGCAGAGAGAAGGGGTGACAGTTTTAGGTTTCAATAAGCTACAGTGAAATACAGGATGAATATGTTTAAGATTCTTAGGCAACTCCAGTTGCACAGTGACTGGGTTAATTACTTTAACAATTGCGAATGGCCCACATATTTAGGAACAAATTTCTTTGATTGTTGGGTGGACTGTAAGTACTTCATGAAGAGGTAAACTCTTTATCACCTACTTTAAAATATTTTGGCTTCACATGTTTTTTGTCAGCTTGTTTCTTATATGTCTGACATGCCTCCTGCAGTGCCTTACAGACAACTGGCCAAGTGTTCTGCAGTTGGGCTATCCACTCCACTATGACAATGGCATTAAATAATCTGATTTTGGTTGCTGTATTTATAATGAACATGATCCATACTGAACACATCTGTTGGAAGCCAGTAGTTGTTACATTGGAGTAATATGTTTTTTCTATCATTGCAAAGAGTATTTGACATTGTACAAAAGAGAAGGAGGAAATCTCTTGATATTTGTACCCAGGAGACATATCAGGATTGAACAGGAAAAAAACCTACCAATAAAGGAGAATATTTATAGCTGAAATGAAGAGTCCTTGGTACCCTCTGGGCTTGCTTGTTTTCTTGCAGACATTTCATTATCTGTAACATCATCTGTGCTGGTAAGGAGAGGGGTTTGATCTCAGTTTATATTCTAGTACCTTGCCCTGTCAGTATTGGGTGTGTGTGGTGTGTTTGTGTTAAAGATTCTTTGGTTGGGCTGTTTATTGTTGGCTTCTTTGGCACTTTCTTTATTGGGATATTGTTTATATGTTGGTCTGATGTTAATCTTGGAGTTAATCTATGCTGAACTGAGTGCTGATTATTGGTGGAGAGGTGTTTGTGTCTTTTTCTTCCCTTTTTGGCTGTTCCCATTTTGTTCCCTTTGATTGTCTCTTTTGCATATAGATATTGTCAATGTGTCTATTGATGGCTAATTTGTCAGAGTGCCAGGCTTCCAGAAATTCCCTGGCATTTTTGGACTTGGCTTCACCTAGGATGGTCATTTTTTTCTCAATAGAAACCAGTTTAGTTATGGACAAAGAAATGCAGAATTATAGATAGTGAATTGTCCCTAAGACCAAGAATACAAAGGATCCGATGAATCAGAGCAATATAATATCTCAGTTAAAGAAAAATGCATCAAACCATCCTTACCCTATAAATAGTTTTTTAATCACAGAAACAAATTATATTTGAGAATACACAGAATATATTAGAAGAATATAAAAACATAGAAATGGAAGAATTAAAGAAGCTTCTTGAATGAGAAGCAAAATATTTTCAAGAAAAGTCCAGTTGCTTTTGAAAAGCACCTTCTGGACCACCATGATCTGGATGACTGAGAATCTCCATACACAGAAATATAGAAACTATATTTGGCTGTCTAGCTGCTTCTTGAAAACATTCTAGCACTAGTCTTACAGTGTTGATTCAGATTCAGCTTGTTATTAATGATCACACACACATTTTTATCAAATATACTGTTTCCAAAAGATGAATCTTCAATGTCTATGTTTTTCTTCCTACATATAGTACAATACATGTCCTGTTAAAGAACATCTTTTTTTCCTCAATCTAGTCTTCCAAACTGCCCAGATTAGACTGTGAATTTGTTCTGGTGGCACAGTGGTTAGAATGCTAACTCACTATTCACTGTCAGGAGGTTGATTCTGAACGGATCAAGATTGCCTCAGCTTTCCATCCTTCTGAGGTCAGTAAAATGAGCACCCAGATTGTTGGGGGCGATGCTATGCTGACTCTTAAACCACTTAGTCAGGGCTGTAAAGCATTATGAAGCAGTATATAAGTCTAAGTCAGGGATTTCAAACTCAAGGCCCGCGGCTGGGTGCTTAGATCTGGCCCATGGGCCGACCTGGAAACAGCAAAGGATCGGACTGTGGTGCCTCTGCCAGCAAAAACAGAGCGCAGTGTCAGGGTTCCAAGTAACACCTCCAACAGAATTAAAATTCTGAAGCCGTTATCTTCTTCAAAGTATACATTTATTAGAGATGTCATATTGGCACATCTGGGGGAAACCTGAATCTGAAAGCCTCACATTTTCCCCACCCAAAATAAAACCAAAGTTCCTTCCCCTCCATTCACAACTGCATCACATGGTCCAATCAGGTCACTGTCCCAACTTCAGTTAACTCCCAGTCCTGCCTTTCCAGGTGCTGGTGAGATGGCCTTGACTCCCAAGGGAAGGAATGTTGTTATGATTACACATCCTACACTATCTCCACCTCCCCACTCCTATTCCCACAGCTTGCTGTGGCAGCCCTGAAGACACTATCTAAAGATGGCTCCAAGGCTGACACTCAGGAAGACCGCATGTGGCGCTCCCAGGCTCCATTTTCGGCCATGATGGCCTCCAGCAGTTCTCCTGCCAGCAAAACTGAACAGCTGCAGGAGGCCATTGCAGCTGAAAATGGGGCCCATGAGGGCCACGTGTGGCCCTGCCAGGTTCAGTTTTCGCTGGCAGAGGGCTAGCAAAACAGAAATGTTTCCCTTTTCCATTTGAGCATGCAAGAAGGGACAGGAAAGGAGAAAGGGAAAGAGGAAAGACAAAGAAAAGGAAGGAAATGGGAAGAGAGCGAGGAATGAAAAATAAGCAGAGTGGAAGAAAGGAGAATGAAGAGGGAAGGGGAAGGAGGGAAGGTAGGTTATAATGAGAGTGACAGAGAGTCTGTGGGAAGTCCTGCCTTAGCACTTGGCCACCACAGATGCCCCCAACATGAGTGACATCGAGATGGCCACACTCACCCTAGCTATGCCATGCCCCCACCCCCCCAAAGGTCAAACACAACCCTGATGCGGCCTTCAATGAAATCAAGTTTAACATTCCTGTCTAAGTGCTATTGCTGTTGCTATTGTTCTGACTTCCTAGGTTTTGGCCAGACCTCCCCGTTTTCTTATCATTCACAAATTTAATGAACAATCAGTCCCATTATCCAGATCATTATTGTTGAATATTACTGATCCTATGACAAATTCCTGCAACCCACTAGTTCCTGCTTTCCATCTAATGTTGAGCTACTAATCTGAATTGTATTAAAGTTGGCTAGTCAACTGTGAACCCACCTTACTGTAGTGCTATCCAAACCATTTTAAGAGCTTGTCAAGAAAACTTTCTTCAAAATAATAGCAGTGCAATGCTATATCTCAAAATGAGCCTATTTACTTGGGGAAGAAATATTGAGTACTATGTGAGATGGTAAGCAGCACATCAATTTGCCTCACAGAAAATGGTGATAGAGTATTTGCATCAGAATGATTATATTATGAACAGGCAAGCTCTCAAGAAAGAGTTTTTGAGCACATTCTTAAACTCAAAATTCAAAAAAGAACGCTATTTTTATATAAAGTATAATAAACAGTATTCTTTCATATGTAGCACCTTCAATTGTTATGAGATATATTATAATGAAGTTCTATGTTAACTGTAAAAACTACTAGTAATAGTAATATATGTACTGTGATTATCATTTATTTAAATAAAACTTATAAAATATGACAAAAAATCAGCAAGAAATATAAATTAAAGCTACTGCAAAGCTAATCACTAAATAAATATTTTGAGGATTTTCTTGAAGAAACAAGTACCTCAATCACAGAATAGTCTACATTTTTAAAAATTAGTATCAGCTACTATTAAGCCGAACACAAAAACAACAAAGTATGTATAGGTAGGTGATAACATGGTTACCTAACTTAGTTTGGGTAAAATAATATATATAGACTATGACTGTGTGTGTCACTTTAAATGCAGACCATGTATTTTGGGTGCGGTTGTAAAATCACCATAAGAGGGAGCAAGAGAGCTCACTGTTTGCTGGCTTTTACTGGATTGCTGACAATGATGGATTGATGGTGATAACTGCGTGTTTTTTCCCTGCTATTGCTGAACGAAGAAAAGAGGTTTGATTTTCTTCATATCTCTACTGCAAAAAGAGATATATTACTGGACTGATTATTTGTAAGTTTACTGACCTCTTTTTCGACACTGGATTTTGCTAATGAATAATCCCCGGACGGACTGAACTAAGTGTATGATATATGGACTGTTTGACTATGCTATAACTCTTACTGGAATAATAAACTATTTAACTAGCACATTGTATCTGTTTTACTGAGTGTAAACTACAACAACGTTTATCTCACATATTCTGCCTGACTGACTACCGTTGCACGTTCTGCTAGGGTGTATATCCCTAACAGTAGGTGCACAAACTGGGATGTTCCTGTTTTTTAGTACCAAGTTAAAGACACCTATGTCATATCTACTTCTTCCAAGCAGTTACCATTCCATGTATTTATTTCTTTTGCAAAATAGAATCATACAAAAGGATAGAAATGGGCAAAAGGAAAATATATTTGGACGAATTAGATTAGAATCTATAATTTGCAGTGAGAATATTGTGAAAGAAAATATACTTTCTTCCAATTTTGTTAACTCACTGCAAGCAAACAAACAAACAAACAGATAAGAAAATGCAATGCTTTTTCTCTTACCAGAACTTGTAGTATGATTTACTCTGGATGTGTTTAGCAATTCTACAGGCTGATCTCTGCTAGAAAGTTCACCTGAAAAAAGAAAAGAATCCAGCTAATGTTTGCAGTCAATTATGATAAGGTTACTTAGAGTTTGATGTATCAACTGACTGAACAATTAAAAAAGAGCAAAAAGAAAAAAACAATTGTACCTCTTACATTGTATTTTAATCTTCAATTACGTTTAAATTAATTTTTATATGCTATGTTTTATTTGCAATTTATAATTTGCATTTTATCTCTGAAAAACTATGATACTGACAAGAGAAAAATAGATTGAAAATTTTAAAATAAAGATATAGGTAGTCCTCAACATATGACAATTGAGCTGAGCTGAAAATTTCTGTTGCTAAGTGAAACATTTGCCAAGTGAATTTTACCCATTTTAGCACCTTTCTTTCCACTCTTGTTAAATGAATCACTGCAGATATTGTTAGTAACATGATTGTTAAGTGAATCTGGCTTCCCATCGACTCTAATTGTCAGAAGGTTGCAAAAAGGTAATCACACGACCCCAGCACACTGCAACGAGCTTAAATATGAATCAGTTGCCAAGTATCCAAATTTTGATCACCTGACTATGGGGATGCTAGATCCATCTGTAAAATTGGTTATAAATCACTTTTTCAGTGCCGTTGTAAGTTTGAATAGTCACTACATGAACTGTTGTAAGTTGAGGACTACCTGTAGTCATGTTGGAATTATTGATCTGTCATACAGTCAGCCAGATATTCAGATTGGATTTGGCATTTTTATCCACCTATCGAGTCTTTCTCGAGGTCCTGGGATAGGTAGATGTTGATGTTTTATGATGTTAGAAGTAATGTCACATGATAGCTATCTTTTGCAACTGACTGATGGTGAATTTGCAATGTCGATGATGTTGAAGTGATGCTCCATTTGTTTTGGGACTGCACCCAAGGCGCCTATTACTATTAGTACTACCTTTGCTTTCTTTTGCCGGTCATTTCCATTTGCAGGTCTTTGCATTTTATTATCTTGTCCAGTTCTTTCTCTTCTCTTGTCTCCAAATATTGCCATCTCCACTATCCAGACACATTTGTCTTTCTTATTAACACTTACTAAGTCTGGTGTGTTATGCAGCTGGTGTGTGTCTGTTTGAATTCTAAAGTCCCTGTGTCAGTGTCAGTTCTGCCATCTTCAGCATGGTCCCTTGCTGGCATCCTGACATCAAAAGCTGTGGGGAGGGAACAAGTGGGACAAATGGGCAATAAACATGTAAGGGGATATGATGGGATTAGGGAGGGGGGGATGATACCTTGACAAAGACCAGAGAGATCCAGAACCAGCTTGTGCCAATCTTCAAGGCTACGGACCCTGAGAATGGAATGTGGATTGCTCCAAACATTTCAGAGGTTCTCAAAACACCTATGCAGCTCTCCATTGGCTGAAGTGATGATCTCTCAAGGGGGGAGAGCTGGGATGAGAGCAAAAAATTGTATACTTTTCCACAGAAATCTTAGTTCTAGCTTGTAGCCAGCAATCTTTAGTAAAAGAACCTATCACTTCACCCAAATGGGGTTTGAGGGTCTTTCTTTCCTAAGGGATCTGACTAGGGCACGTCTAACACCCAGAACACTTTAGCTTCTTCATTTACTATTATTATTATTGTTCTTGTTATCTCTTTTATTCATTAAACATGATACTTAGTCAACTGAACATTTAAAAATGTATTTTTAAATATCACTGACTGGTGCTGATGGTTGATATGGATTGCTGCCAGCATCCTAAGTATCAATCAAGTATCTTCTTAAACTGTACAATGTTCCAAGCAGCAGGTTTTTTTACAGTTCCCCAGGTGTTATTGCAGGAAGCTGCAATTTCTTGATGTATATTTTAAAATACTTGGACATGGTACCAAGTGCCCCAGTGACAATGGATATTACTGTTACATGTTCTATCCATAAACATGTAATTTCGATGGTCAGGTCACGGTATTTCATGATTTTTTCCAGTTCGCTTTGTTCAACTCTGGTGTCTCCTGCTATAGCGATATCAATAAATTGCACACCGGTTTTCAACCACTGTGACATGTGGTGTTGTGTTCCAAATGATGATCCGTCTGTATTTGAAGATCATCACCTTCTCATTTTCGACAACTTTTTCCACTTTACGTTCCCATGACTTTTCGGTTACAGGTAAGGCATATTTTGTACATAATGACCAGTGGATTAATTTAGCAACTCAGTCATGTCTAACTTTATAATAAGATTGCATTATTTTGCTGCACTCACATACTAAATGTGAAACAGTTTCAATTTTGTCAGTGCAAAGTCGGCAGTTTGGATTGTCAGTGGATTTTTGTATCTTCGCTTTCATGGCATTAGTTTGTAGTGATTATTCTTGAACAGCAAATATTAAACCTTCTGTTTCTTTCTTGATGGTTCCCATCAACAACTGTCAAATTATCACATTTTCCTTCAATGTTTTTCAAGTGCTGTCCATGCAAAGATTGGTCTTCCATCCATTTAATCAGGGGTCTTCAAACTTGACAGCTTTAAGACTTGTAGACTTCAACTTCCAGAATTCCTCCTCCAGTCATGTTAGCTCAGGAATTCTGGGAGTTGAAGTCCACAAGCCTTAAACTTGCCAAGTTTTAAAACCCTTGATTTAATGTCATCCAGCTGTTTTTCCTTATATTCTGCCTTTGTTTCTGTTGTTTTGATAATGTTCTCCGTTTTCATAGCCTACAATTTTTCTCTGCTTTGATTCACATAGTCATCAAACTTAGTTTTTCTTCTTCTACAGTTTGATTGATTTCCCATAGCCCTTTGCCCCCTATTCTTCTTGGCAGGTACAACCTATCAATGTCACTTCATGGATGTAAAGTGTGTTGTTGTTGTTATACTTTTATTCATTAAACATGAAACTCAGTTAACAACATTTAAAAGTGTATCACAAATATAATTGATTGGCACCAATGGTTGATATGGGTTGTTGCCAGCATCCTAGGTATCAACCAAGTATCTTCTTAAGATGTACGATGATGTTTGATTATTATTATTTCAGCAATAATCTACCTTTCTGCCCTTGGAATACCCACAAATAACATAGCTGCTCAGTTGTCTAAACTGTGAGATGTGGCAAACAAACAAACAATACAATGTAATATCATAAGCACTACTCTATTAAAACTAACTCAAATAGAAAAGATACTGATTCCTGGGCAAAATGCAAGGTAAGCAGGGTTGAGTTCATCACCCAAAGGACTGCATTCCACTGCTTCCAACAAGCGAAAACATTCTTTTATGTATCCAATTAGTGGACATCTTTAAAACAACCTCTTTTGCCTGACCATAATAGACAAACAAGTATCTTCACATTGGCATTACCTCAGATAAGCAGGCACCAATCATATAGTGGTTTGAATATCAAAACTATCAACACATCTAGCAACCCACAGCATGCTATTTCTTGTGGGAATAAGCACCATTATGCAAAGTGCAAAAAAGGAGTAATAAAAATATATTGTCCTTACCATTAGGAATAAATGCTACAATTAAGGCTGATAACACCTGCATTGGCAGACCTTCTCTACATTGTAAAAATCCACCAGGCATGTGGGTAGAGGATTTTATCCTGGAAAACATTTGCAACCAATGTAGTTCTTTGTGCAATTTGAAAAAGCAAAAAAATATTCAGCACAGCCCTCCCCCGCTTTCAATGACTAGAACAATTCTCCAAACTGGCTCAATCCTCTTCACTTCTTTTCTCAAGCCTCTGAGGTTCGTCAATGAACTTCTTTATTTCCAATATTGTCAGTTTGCTCATCAAAGGTGGCTCATATACACCTTCAGACCAGTCAATCAGCTCCAGCAGAATGGATGCTCTGGCACTGATTAAAGGCTTTTTTCTTGCACATACAGAAACATCTCCTAGCACGTCATCATCTGCACCCCTGAAGCTAATGATCTTTTGCCCACCAGCTCTCCTTTCTTGAACATCATCTGAACACAAGAGTGTCTGTATTATCTTTTCACTGAAAGCATACTATGCTGAGCGCTGAATGGTTGGCAAAACAGCATCTACTACAGCCTTCTTTTGCAGCAACTTGCTGCAGCTGGAACAACACATGATGCAGGCCTTCAATCCAGAAATGTTTTACTTTGATGTTGAACTAGCAAGGTTAATACACACCAATTATTTATTCCACTATGATTCTTAAGTATTGGAGAGTTTTGCCTTTAAAGCCATGTTTTGAAACCCATATTTGACAAATCCTTTTTGCAGTTGTTAACCAGGGGAATTGCTCCTCTGAATTGTTTTATTTTCAGCATAATTTTAGTTGCGTCTATACAGCCATCGAAGAAGATGCATTCTATTTCGCTCTTCTTACAGAGCTCATCCCATTCTTGATCTAGGGACTTCATAATTTTTTCCTGGGCTCTCTTGAATTTATTGTGGTCAACTACAAGTTTCTTCTTCAGTGATCTTTGTCTTCTTCAGTGATCAAGCCAGCATCTACTAAGGCGGCTGTGGTAATAGCAGTAGTGGCATGTAGACCAATACTGTATCTTATGCTCTGCATAGGAACATTTGTTATTTCTAATCTGTTGTATTCTGTCTTTTCTTTTGAAGTAGAGGGCACATGTGTTTGTAAAGCATCTTCATAACTTCTCTCACATTCCTCTTAATCATCAGTGGTCTGTCCTTCATTTTCATCATAAGAGATACTTACTTCATTTGTTAGTATTGAAATGTCCGGAACACTTCTCTGCTTATGCTTAGCGAGCCTTTGTCTCTCATTGTCTTGCCGCTTTCGTCTTTTGACAAGTCGTTTCTGCTCAGACACACCTGGCAAACCAATCTAGTGTGATCCAAAAGAACCAATCTTGTCTAACCTTTAACAAAAGCAAATTCCTTCAATTGTATCTTTGCCTCCTTAGGGAAGGTGCAGTTACGTGCACTTCTTTTTTGCAGCCAGCAAGGCAGCCAAATTCGGCACACAGAACAATTTGACACTTGCAGTTGAGGATGTCAAACAGTTTGTCAAATTTTACTGTGAACGTCTC